AAGCTGAGAGTGGTGTCAGGGCTGGGCATCCACTGGGGCTGCAGTGCAGGGCAGCCAGGTGCTGTCAGGACAAAGAGGGGCCTTCCCTGCCTCGCACAGGCCAGAGAGCAGGGACTGCACAGTCTATCACTGCACTGATGTGCTCCGAGGAGCTGCTCTTGACTGCGCTCCCAGGTCCCCTTCGGATCCAGGGCAGCCGCTCCCCCGCTGCAATCCCCCGCTCCCCCCTCTCCCTGCAGGTCCCAGGTGAGCTGCCCTACAGCACCCTGACACCCTTGGTGCCCCAGGTGTGTTTGCATGCACACGGCTGCTGGGGGCTACAGATACAGCCTGTGAGGTGAGCTCTGGTCCTTTGGGTGTGCCAGGCAGGGCTATCTGCTAAGCTGGTCGAGGAAAGCACACCCAAACAGCTAGGTAAAATCATAGGGAGAATTTGCACTTGAGTGCTTTGTTTATCAGGAGTGAGTGCCTGTGGGGTGGTGGTGTCGCAGGCCAAAATGATCAAAGGAATGAATAACCGCCTCCTACATGAGGGATGATGGCCCAACTTCCTGCTGTTTCTGTTTGTTTTTGTTTCGGCAGTTGCTTTTACTTCAGAAAGGAAAACAAACAAGAGACAATCTCTTGTGTGAGGCAGCGCGTAGGCAGAACAACCTTCCCACCAGATACAGCCGGAGGCTGGGCTGTCCTGGCCGCCTTGCGCCAGGGCATCCCCCAGGGAGAGGAGATTACACGGCAGCAAACAGCACTGGGTCTCTAGTCTGCAGGACAGGGCTGCTCAGCTGAGAGTCAGACGGGCACTTGAATGGACAGCAGTCATTTCTGCTCCTCAGTTACCAGTTGAAGGAGTGGTTAGAAGCTATAGGAGTGTAGAGTCAAATTGCTCAATTAAAGGCATGTGATTAAGCAACCAGCAGATCACAACTGTCGCCTTTGCATCGTAGCTGTGTGTAAATTGTACATGTCCGTTCGGCTGTGCTTTGTGAGAACTTTTGCATGAAGGCTCCCTAGGACTCATTTTCACTTGCAGTCGTGATCTCTCCTCTACAGACAACAGTATAGCCTGGGGGTAGAGGACAGATCAGAAATCGGTTAGAGATTTTATGCTATTTTTCTCCCTTTTCTAGATCTAGGCACTTGGGTCTTAATGTCCTTCATTATCAGAAGAAGAAATCAAAACGTGAATAGTGTTAATGAAAGGAGCGGTCCAAAGTCCTGATCACTGCACTAAAATAAGTCACAGGCTTCCATGGCCTCATTTCCAGAAGCAATGGGTGTCTGTTACCCTTGCTGAAGTCAACAGGTCTGTTCCCCGTGACTGATGAGGACCATCAGTCACTAGCTAGTAGGGGTAGGGTCACGCCACTTCCTAATGCACATTCCTACCTTTTCTGTTCCTATAGAGTTGCTGGTGGGTTTGTTTGTGTGTGTTGACTGGGCTCACCTTTTTGTTTGGTGGTTTCACTCTTGGGAATGCCTGCCAGAAAGATGAAAAACCATTCACATCCCTGTGAATGTCTCCCAACAGATATTAGCTACAGAGAGGTGGAGGTGTTCCCACTTTCCTCTTTCTGGCCATCTATTAGCAGAATGAGGTCCATTTAGGAATAAACAGGAATACCCCAGTGTTTTCCAGGGGTAGCTGTGGTTCATTTTGGATATATCAAGGAATCAGTTGAACTCTTCAGCTACTCTTGGTGCTTTTTCAGGCTAACAGAGTGCTGAACTGACGGAGGTAGGAGGCAGGTGTTAAAAACCCTACTGAGCACCAACGCTTTCATTTTAATACTAAAACGTCATCATAGAATAGTTTGGGTTGGAAGGGACCTTTAAAGGTCATCTAGTCCAACCCCCGTGCCGTGGGCAGGGACATCTTCAACTGGATCAGGTTGCTCAGAGCCCCGTCCAACCTGACCTGGAATGTTTCCAGGGATGGGGCATCCACCACCTCTCTGGGCAACCTGGGCCAGTGCTTCACCACCGTCGACGTAAAACATTTCTTCCTTATATCTAGTTTAAATCTGCCCACATCCCTGGTACTAGCACAAACACTGAGCAGCAGTTTTGATATTTGGCATCTCAGAGAGGGAGAATTGTATCTGCAGATCGTGGGTACCAAAGACAGTTGTGACCAGCTGTGTTTAGCAGCCTCGTTACTCTCTGGCTTGAATGAAGCAAGTTCTGCATGAAGAGCATTCCTGATCACTCATTGTTCATTCCAGCTGTGGTTGTTGGTATAGTTACTGCTCTGTCACTGTCTGATTTCTGAAGATGACTGTTTTTTACAGTAGCAACTAGGACTCTTCAAGAAGTCCGTAGCAGCAGATAGTTAGATTTCTGTATGTGGCTGCAGCCGAGGGTAGAGTCTGTCTGACAGGGAAGATTATGGGTATGGAAAGTAATGGGTGGGTTCGCTTATTGCTGTTAAATGTTTCTATTATCAAGATAATTTGAATTTATTACTTAATTTAAGGCTGCAGACTTGACCTTGGTTGACATTATGTGTGCAGCATATAGTGAACAGCTCTGATTTTGCTCCGGGCTGCGTACAGGTTAGCTCTGCTGCCCGTTCAGACGCCTGCCAGCTGCACCCAGGCTCAGTCTGGCCTTTGGGACCTGCAGAAGTGAGGCCATTGCGGCACTGGCTCCAAAATGAGTTAGCCAAGTTAGTGCTAGGGTAGCCTGCCCCAGGCTGCTGGAAGGGGCTTTGGAGTAAGCAGAGGGCACACCTCCAGGAGCCGTGGGTGCTGTGCACGATGCGGAGGTGTGGAGCTGAGCTCTTTGCAGGTCCCCCAGCTCCCGGTGGAGCTGTGTCCATGGGGGGGACGCACTGGTGGGGACGCTGAAGTGTGAGCGGCTGCAGAGTGTGTGGAGCTGCATGTCGAGTCCTCACAGAGGGATTTTTCTGTTTGATTTATTTCTTATTCTCAGTCATAACCTTTGAGATCTCACCCTGTCATTGCATTTATGTTGGTGTTTTGTTGATTTCTTTTGTTCCATTTTCTCCCAGGCCCCCATGTCTTCCCCCTAAGCCACAGAAAATGAGGAGACCTAGGCCTCTCTCAGTCTATAATCATAAACTCTTTAACGGCAATATGGAAACGTTCATTAAGGTACTCGCTGGCTGACAGTAAGAGTTTATGAACGCTGTGAATGTAATGGTGGCTTTCCTGTCCTAACTGCTGGCTGCTTTCCTTCCTTGGCGGGGTCTCTCCAGTCCGCCCTGCACCCAGTTGACCGTGCTTTGCCTCGGTGACGATTTCTCTCCATAGCTGTCCTCACCCCTGTGTGTTCCTTGTGTCACCCATCCTGTCACCACCTGCGTGCCCTGGGGCGAGGGTAGCAGTGAGGACCCTCATGGCTGTTGGCCATGCTGGCCGGCTGCGCAGCACGAGGTGCTCTTGGCTGAGCGCGTCCATTGTCCAGCGCTGCTTCCACCCATCCTGGGAGGGAAGATCAGACAGCAAGGTTAACCCAACCCAGCACCCTCAAAGGATCAACAAATCCCCCCACCTTCCCTTTTTCCGCACATTTTTGGTGGTCGTTTTCCCCCGTGGCTGAGGGTGAAGGTAAAATGACTCATAAGCTCCCAGAAAGTGTCTCCCAGTTGTAAGGACTGGCAGCTTTGAACTGAAATACCGTGCATATGGGTGGCTGCGTGGGAGGGTAGATGTGCTATCCTCATCCTTAAACAAAATATATTAATAATAACCAGCCCAGCTGGCTCATCTCAGTGCCGACTGCTGATAGGTGGCTGAGGCCCTCTCCTACAGCTCGGTGCTTACTGGGAGTCTGGAGGCCCCTTCCCGCAGCCCAAACTGGAGGGAGGGTTAACCTGCAGGGAGGACAGGCGAGAGCTGTGTGGCAGTGTGGAGCGGCGAGCTTCTCCCTTACCGCTGAATGCACCGGGAGAGGAGATGCCACAGCTTGCACGCTGCCTGCGACCCATGCTGGCGCCCGTCTGTGCTCGGCGAGGGCCAGGACCGTGGGCTCAGCTTCCAGTGTTGGAGCAAAGTGATTCCTAAATGGCTGCTGAGTGGTTTCCTCCAAACCATCGCTGATAACATGCAGCGTGTGGTCTTCATAAATGTGGGCCAAAGTATTTTCTTCATTTAAGCTGGGGTGAACTCAGATGAACTCAATTAATACCAGTGCAGTCCCAGTGTAAGGGGCATTTGGCCCTGCTCATCCTGGGAAATTACCCGGAAGGAGAGATTTGAGGAGAAAAATGAAGAGATGTGGACGTGGGATTTGTCCCGAAGAATACCTCCAGCTATCTAGCTGCTGATCCTCCAAAATCCAGCACTTTGCTATTGCCGGGCTGCTGGAAGGATTTCCAAAGGAAGCGATGCCGTTGCAGTTGCTCAGTGTTTAATCCTGCGCTGAAGAAAGCTTTAGTGAAAATACTGTAGGAAGCAGTAATGACAAACTGTTGGATTAGGTAAACTAACAGGCGTTGTCTGGCTCTGATTTATTCTCTTAGGTTCTTTTAGTGCAACCATAAGCCTTAAGGGCAATGTTTATAAACAGTGCACTGTCACAAGTAATATACAGGCTGACTGACAAAGCCAGTAATCTCTTTAATACTTGTAATTATTCCTTACTTAAACTGATTTTTAAAAAAGTAATACTCATTGAAGTCCAGCGCTGTGGAGGAGGAATTAGCTGCAGTGGAAATCTATCTGAGCGGACGGGTGTCCTGTGCCAGCGGAGACTCCTCGGGGGACAGTGCTGTGCTACCGGGGTTGTCCTCGAGGCTGGGGACCACACGCTGCTGTGGAAAACGTGCGGCCCCGTGGAGCGCAGGGCTGTGGGCGGCTGCCCGGTGCCCCCACGTTTTTTTAGGGGCTGGCGTTGGCCTCGGGCTTCCGCGAGTGCCGCAGGTTCAGGGAGGGAAGAAATCAGAGAGGCTCCTTCTGCCGGTCGCTGAGGCTCGGGTGCAGCGTGCCAGACGGGGTTTGGGAGGGAGGGTGGACAGCCTGAAGGCCTGGGTTGGACCTTGCTAAGCTGCCATTGCATTTGAGCGTTCATGGCCTCCGAAAGAGATGCTTACCTCTAACTGAACTTATCCTTGCTTAATCTTTTCTTTTTTTCCCTGCTCTGCTGCTTTTTTGTGTTCTCAGAGGAAGGAGGAATGCGCGAACGAGAAATCAGGTATTTACTGGAGGCCCGTCTATGAGACAGAGTAAATTAACCAGAGAGATGCAACTGTACTCTACTGGAAAAAACAACCAAACAAAGCTCCTAGGGAAAATAAACATCCACTTAGGCAGTCAGACACAGCTCACATTCCCCCTTGAGCTCCTTCCACGAGGGGCCTGGAGAGAAGCTGCTTTGAAACAAAAGCCAAAACTCATTACAGGTTCAGATACAGGCAGTTCATTTCACACACTGTGGTGTTTTGTTTTGTTTTTTTTCTAGCATCTGCTGACAATAGCTCTTTCTTTAGGTGGAAATACTGTTGTAAGCTCTGTTACTGGAAGCTTATTTCATCAGACAGGTGTAGCACAAGTTTTATTTCAGTTCAGCATTACACCTTTGAAATGGAATAGCTGTGATCCCGTTGCATCAGTCCCCTGTCTCAACCAGATAGTGAGCAGCAGTCTTTCACACACTTTAGTGAAAGCTTTTTTTGTGCATAATTGACTGCACATAGTATATTCAGCACTTTTTGCTGGCCTGATGTGTGTAACGCCTCCTTTTCTTGCCTGTCCTCTTACTAAACTCAATGGCACTGATTTTCAAATCTCTGTTTTTGCAGTCTTTAATGCATTTCTCGTGCTTTGTTATCAATAAACCAGTAACTTTTTACTTTTTCCTTTCCTTTCATGAAGGATTCAGGACAGGCTATTCCACTTGTAGTAGAAAGCTGCATTCGTTACATCAATTTGTACGGTAAGTTGATTCAGTAATACCAACAGAAACTTTCTGCAAAAGAATTAGATACTTGTGGTTAGCAGTGAAATATAGTAGAGATGCCTGCAGCCCTCGCTACGTGGGCTCAGGTTATAATTACAGTGGCATTGACTGTGATGTAGCATTGTATGACTGAGAAATAATTAGGGCTTGTTAGCCCTTATCCAGGTTAAATTGTTCTCTCAGGTCCCAGGCCAACAGGAGCCCTTTCAGGGCTTTGATCTGGGGGGCCTTGATTGGAGAATATGAGCAGAAATGAATCGTAGCAGGCTGTGCCCTTCCTGCTCTCTGAGTCTCTCTCCAGGCGCGTTGACTCCTAGTTTCTGCTGTTCTTTACCAGAAAGTACTGTGTAACAGTTACACAAATCTTTTCTAAAACGTTGTTCCTTTCCAGGCCTTCAGCAGCAGGGCATTTTCAGAGTTCCTGGCTCCCAGGTGGAAGTCAACGACATCAAGAATTCGTTTGAGAGAGGTGTGTTGGCAGGATGTGCAGCTGCAGCTGGGACGCCGTGTCTGAGCCGAGATCGTTGGTGGGAGTTTCAGTGTGTGCTGGGTGCATTAGACACTGTGTAAAGCCTGTGCTAAAGGCCGTTCTGCTACGAGATATGAGGAGGTTTTCTCCCCTTCTAGGTATCTCAGTATTGTATCTCCAGCAAGAGTGGAGAGTCAGTTAGGGAAAGGGTATGAGAAGTAGGGATAGGTGCAGACATCTCTTCCATAGTTGTTAATTAAGAGCATGAAAGCCTCAGATGAGAGCCATAAAATAGTTTGTTGGGGATCCATTTTCCTCCTTCCTGCAGTGGTTTGTCGAGGGAGGAGCAGCATTGCCACGTGTACCTGGTGGCAGTGTTGGTTGTGGAGTTGCCAGTGATTCTGTTGAGAAAACCACATCGAAGGTGTAAGGCTGGCAAGACAGGGCAGAGCAATCCTGCTGTCACCGAGTGGAGGTGAAGCTGTGAAAGGGACAATCTAGATGGGGGTAATGGCCTCCATGGCATTAATCTGTGAGCAGCATGGAAGGATCAGGGTGAAGGTGGCGAGGCCAATGAATAAGGCGGTGGTGAGATTATCAAAGGCTGGAGGATTTGCATATCCAATTTAAGAGGAATCGGTATCCAAATCCCTTAGGTTTTGAAAGCCTTTTATAGATTTAAGTCTGTACAATGCTATCCAGAACCGTTTGGTCTATTCCAGAGGCATAATTGCATCCTCCAGCCAAGCCTGTCTTCTCAGGCTTTCACCCACCATCGTTTAGATTTGCTCGGCTCTCTGAGCTGTTGCCTTAAATGCAAAAATGCACTGGGCTGGAAACTGTGAAGGAAAACAGATTAATAACATCTTCATCCTCAGGAAAGGTTTAAAATCTCCACAATAAACTGGGTTTTTGTAGGTAGGGCTATAGCATGTCTCAGCATGATGCTATGTAACAGAGTACCTTACTAAACTCTCCTCTTGCTGGCAAAATGCTTAGCATTACCATTCCACACAGGAGGGTTTTCTGAACTGTGGGAAATTTTGAGTTTCCACTGAGTTAGTAAAAAAACACTTGCTGTGTTAGTCCAACTTGATAGTAATGCTGGAAATAAAAGCTCTTCTCTGGGCAGGTGAAGATCCCCTTGCTGATGATCAAAACGAACGTGACATTAATTCAGTGGCTGGAGTCTTGAAGCTGTATTTCCGAGGACTGGAAAACCCCCTCTTTCCTAAGGAAAGGTTTCAAGATTTGATATCTACTATAAGTAAGTACATGTGACAGCTCTTCTCGGAGAACAGGGTGGCACAAGAGAAGCAATAAACGGGGGGCAAGTACATCTGAATTTTGCAAATAGCAGCTTATATTGTAAGAAGGGCTATAGGTCTGCAATGGAAGTTGTTAGGAAAAGAAATTAAGAGTGTGCATTGGCAGCGCTGGAGGTGAGGGAGAGATAAAACACCTTGCTGTGGCTCTTTTAAATTCTTCCTAGCAACAAAGCTGGTGGAGGGTCTGGAGAACAAGCCTTATGAGGAGCGGCTGAGGGAACTGGGCTTGTTTGGCCTGGAGAAAAGGAGGCTGAGGGGAGACCTCATCGCTCTCTACAACTACCTGAAAGGAGGCTGTAGCGAGGGGGGGGTCGGTCTCTTCTCCCAAGTAACAAGCGATAGGACAAGAGGAAACAGCCTCAAGTTGTGCCAGGGGAGGTTTAGATGGGATATTGGGAAAAATGTCTTCACTGAAAGGGTTGTCAAGCATTGGAACAGGCTGCCCAGGGAAGTGGTTGAGTCACCGTCCCTGGAGGTATTGAAAAGACCTGTAGATGTCGTGCTGCAGGACATGGTGTAGTGGTGGACGTGGCAGTGTTAGGTTAAGGATTGGACTCGATGATCTTAAGTGCCTTTTCCAACCTAAATGATTCTATGAGAATCACCAGAGTCATCCCCAAGCTTAGGCCAGTGGGCTGCACATGCAGCAAGCCCATATGCACATTTGCGGGTTGCATTGAGGGGTCATTAGTTGCTTGAACAGGGTTGGTTGCTGTCCTGCCGGCACAGATCTCTGCGCAACGGCAGTTTCTGTGCCTGCCCATCATGTGTCAAGTGGCCGTGCCTCCTGGGACCCAAAGGGGTTTTGCTGCTTTAGCTCAGTGTCTTCTGCTAAACATAGTGAAGGTCAATAACTCTTGGCTACTCACAAGGCTTCTCTGACCCCTGAGGTCTGCAGAATTGCTTTCAAGCTCACTCGGTCAGCTGTTCTCCATGTGTTTGCTATGTGCATTTCCCATCTCAAAGTAAACCAGAAAGTGCTTTGGGATGTGAGCAGAGGTAGAAACTGAGGGTTTTTAATCCTGAAGGGTCTTGGACTGATGTCAGGGAGAGCCTGGTTGCTGCTTGTTCTGTCCTGAATTCTCCTCCTGGCTCCACTTGTTCCTCTGCAACTGAAGAAACAGATATCCCAGCTGGGGTTTCTTTGTCTCAGTACCTTGTAGTGATGACATTTATTTATTGGTAAGTCATGGAAATTACTCCCCTGGGGGAAAGGAAGAAGGCAGAATGAATCTGATGTTTCAGAGGTGATGGAGGAGCGTGTTGCGCGCTTTGGCTGCAGGATGACTTTATTTTACAGAATAGGCGTCAGGGTGGTTTGGGTGTTGCATGAGAAGTCATTAGTTGCTTGAACAAGGTCTCAGTACGTGGGTAGCTTCAGGGGACTGACTGGTGAACGTGTGCTGAAGTCCTTCATTTGGCTTTCACTGCTCATGGCTCCTTCCCCCCTTCTTAATATTAATGTGCATAACTGCTAGGGATTTAGTGATGTCAAGAAAGACAGATGATATCTAGAGGGGAATGACGCAGGGATGGGCTTGTTTCAGAAGGAGAAGAATTTGCTTTTATTTTTCAAGAACAGTTTTATACAGTAGCTTTAGGAAATTTGCTGTTGTCTTTCAGTTTTGATGTGTAAAACAGCGCAGCACACCTGTATCATGGCAAACAAAGGAAGCTGTTTCTGCACCAGTTTTGTGCCTGAGGGGCTTGCAGCAGGCAGAGCGGGGAAGCCGGAAAGGGCACAGCCTGCAGAGAAGGGGACGAGTCCCCTTCGGTGCCAGGAAATGTGCCTGGTGCTTGGTGATGTGACTGTGTGCTTGCAGATAGGCTTGTGCTTTGGAACCATCCCTAATTAATGCCAATTTGCACAATTTATTAAGCTTTTGGGAGCTTTTCATTGCAAACATCATCTGTTAATTTTCTGGATAGTATTCTCTTCTCTCTTTATTTTTTCCCATTTTAGCAAGAATCTTCCTTTTCCTCATCTTTCCTTTCTTTTCCTGCTGTTGTTGCTACCTTTCGATTAAGGATAGATTTAAAATGAATTAAAGTGCCTTGTTGCCATTAAAAATCTGACCTTAAGTGCATCTGATTTTCTGCCACATAAACGTAGGCTGTGTAATAGGTGTCACAACCTAAACAGATTGAAGAAACCTTCTTCCTTTGAGAACCGCTGCTTAGTGAAATGCCATCCTTGCTGTAGGATGTTCTGTCTCACTGTGAAATTACAGCGGAAAGGTTAAACGCAGCCGAGCGGTTTGGGCTCTCCACCGCAGTGCCTCACAAAGCCACCTTGATTTCCCTTGGCTCCTGGTAGGGTATTCTGAGCGAGTTTTTTGCAGCAGGTGCTGCCGTGCATGTCGCCAGGCCTCTGAGTGCCCCTGGAAGGCTGCAGAGCCACGTCAGTCCCTGCCGCTGTGATGGGGAAGCCAGGCTTGCCGGTGGCAGGTGAAAGGCTGGCTTTTCCTTTTGCCTTATAGGGGACTGAGAGTTTACATTGAAGCGTCTCTCAAATGCACATAAGAAATATAGATAGAAAAGGCACTTTGTTTGCAAAGGTTCATTCAGGGGTGTGCCTGTATTGTCAAGTGGTTGATGATTACTCCATTAATTCCTCTGAATTACAGCCAGTTGAAACATTTCTGCTAAGTGAAAAAAGGCAAGTGCTTCAAGACAACTTGTTCCTCTGGGTTTCAGAACAGATATCTATTGTTGTAGGTTTTTATCCAGTTCTTATTTATTTGATTTTTTTTTTTTTTTACAAATGTCCTCTTAAGTGAAACCAAACTGAAGTAGAGAACCCAGTAAGCAATAACAGGGGATAAATACATTCCTCAAAAGGAAAAATTTCCAAAATTAAATATTATAAAGATTTCAATCTTTGGACTGAAGCCAAATTTTGCTCAGCGTTTTTGAACAAATGACAGCCCAGCTACATGTTGTCAGTGAATTTTATTACGATTAGCAAATGTCAAAGTTTGAGCCAGCATAATAAAGTAAGCATCTCTCCACTGATGTGGCTTATTCCATGCATCTGAGGCTGACTGCTCGCAGGAAAGCTTTGATACTCTTTGTCTGCTTTCTGTAAAATAAAAGCCGCAGGATTAACTATGTACATAATATATTGAACAGATACTAGCTTAAAAAAAAAAAAGAGTAGCTTTGGGGGCTGGAATGTGCTGCCAGCTGCTGCAGGACCCCTTGGCGGGTCGGTGCTGGAGCGGGGCTCTTGCAGCTCTGCAGGCGAAGGAGGCTGCTGCGCAGGGGCTTCAGCATCGTCCCGGTGCAGGGCTGCAGGAGGGCTGGGGGGCAGTGCAGGGGTCCCTGGGTGAGTGAGTTGGCACTGAAAGCAGGATAGCTCTAAGTCATCCTCCTTCCTACAGAAGGAAGCTGGTTTCTGATAGCAGCTATGGGCTTTGCGCACTTCTATGGAGAGAAGTGAATCTTAGTGCTGACTCAGAACTGGTTCAGATTAAATCCCCGTTAAGACCAGTGGGAGACTGGAGCAGAAAGGGCTCGGAAGGACCTGATGGTTAGCCCATAAGAGTAACATGAATAAAAACCTCATTTAAAAATCTGCGCTAGAAAACCAAGTAGTGCTCCATTTTCCAGTGCCATAGTGACTCAAGCTTTTGAGAAGTAGAGTAGTTGTTGAGGAATGAACTAAATAATGTATAAACAGTTATTTTAAAAATAAAACCATGGAAATGGCTTTATTTGCTATTTATACTGAATCTGAACATACGTATGAATTTACCCATGGAAGAGCACTATGCCTGATTTTCTCCTTGCACTTTAGTGCCAAACCAGTGGATCAAGTCTGGAAATGGGCTATTGTTTTCCTTGGTAGTGGGCTACTAGATCTGAAACAAGTCCCTCTGGTGCCATGTTGTCTGGTCCTGAGGAGGTTTAAAGATGTGCTTTCTATCCATGTGTTCCAGAAATCGAGAATCCCACCGAGAGGGTGCACCAGATCCAGCAAATCATCGTCACTCTGCCCCGGGCTGTCATCGTTGTCATGAGATATCTTTTTGCTTTCCTTAATCAGTGAGTCTTTTTTTTTTCTTCTTTCACTGAGTTTCTCCTTGCCCTCAGGGCTTCCCTGACTTTGTTGCATGAGTCCTTTTTGGTATTGCCATGGAGAGCTGTACTTGCTCCTTCCTCAGCCTTGCCTAGCCATGGCTGTGCGTTCAGGGAAGATGTACAGCTCAGTGATGATTGCTTTCTTGGGCAGTGGAGGTTTGTTGGTGGGAGATTTTTCTGAGGGAACGGGGAAAGTCGGCACCGCACCTCCCTAACGCTTCTGCTTGCAGCTTGTCGCAGTACAGCGATGAGAACATGATGGATCCCTACAACTTGGCCATCTGCTTTGGGCCCACTCTGATGCACATTCCAGATGGGCAGGATCCGGTGTCCTGCCAAGCCCATGTCAATGAGGTCATCAAAACCATCATCATTAACCACGAGGGCATTTTCCCCAGCCACAGGGAGCTGGAAGGACCTGTCTACGAGAAGTGCATGACTGGAGGGGAGGAGTACTGGTAAGGAGCAGGGGCAGGACTTCACTGTTTGCAGAACTTAACCCTAACAAGGGTATCTGGCTTTATCTTCTGGCACTGTACATTAAGAGTGAAGCTGTGACAAAATGCAGGGCTTTGGCTTGATTCCTGGTAGATGGAGAATTGACCCCAGCTCACATGAGTGTAGGATAAGGGCTCTTGGGAGCAGATCCCTGAGAGGATGGGGTGTGAGGAGAGCTTTGGGAAGTTCAGACTTAATATTAAGGGCAGCTGAGCACAGTGCTGGGGTGAATTTGCTCCTCTGCAGAAAGGGCATGCCTTTTTGCATGTATTCCTGTTAAATGTTATGAATTAGGTGTGCAAGTGATATATATTTGATATGCTTGTGCTATTTTACACTGGTTAAGAATCTTACTCCATACCAGGCTGTCTGCGTGGTTCTTAATTATAAATACCTTCATAAAACTAAGAGGATTTTGCACACCTAACCAATTAGTCTCTACTTGTATACATGAGTTTTGCTTTTCATTTTAGCCTTGCCAGTGAAAACAGAGGCAGTTTCACTGAGTTTTTATTTTCATTTCTCTCACTCATGCTGACTCAGCATTACAAACCTCAGTAGAAACTTCAGGAGAAAATTGTTTCCAATATGAATATTAATATTTATTAAAAAACCTTTTAGCTGCAAGTTCACAGAAGTGTGTTCAGAGCAAAACAGAATTTTAGGTCAGTTATAACCAAATTCTTCTTAGGTTGGAATTTTTGAGTAAAGTTCCATAGTTCCATCATAATTGCATTAGTTGGATGAAAACCCTTAGCCCGAAGTTAACCTGAACCTTCCAGTTCCTTTTGTTTTGTCAGTGTTAGAAGACAGATTGCGTTAGCCAGGGATGGGATCAGCCGTGTGCGATTGCATCGCGTCTTTCTGGTGCACAATTCGCCCTGCTTGGTATACCCAGGATAGGAAAACGCCATAAACAAACTCCCACATTAGAAGTGTAAGTGATATTACACATTTGTCTGGAGGATGCTGGAGTTCTAAACTGGCATTCAGATCTGAGTTTTAACAAACCGGTATTTATAACAGACTTGAACTGATTTGTGTGCAAGTTTTATACATTTCTGAGACTTAATCTTCCCTGATGCTGATCACCTGCCACCATCCTTACTGATGCAAGCGGAGGATAAAATACTAAAACTCATTTCGAATGAGCAAGTGGAACATTTTAACTTGGTATCACTTTATATTTGTTTTGCCAAATATGAGTAAGATGTATGAGGAACAGAACGTGATGTTCTGGGCCTGAAGATTGTGGTGCGAGTGTCTGCTGTTCTCAAAGCAAGTTCAGAGATCTGCTCTGATGTAAAGTGACCATCTCAGTCCTATAAAAACTAAAAACATAACTCTCAAGTGTCACCAGGGCCAGAATTTCCCTCAACAACTTACTTTTGCTAAATGCCTCGGGAACAGAATCTCATTCTTCCTTTGAAAGCACGGTGTATTTTATTTCAGTGACAGCCCGCACAGCGAGCCAGGCACCATCGATGAGGTTGACCATGACAACGGCACGGAGCCACACACCAGTGATGACGGTGAGCACAGACAGAAAAATTGGGTCTGTGTTAGAAAAGCTGTGCATGCAGGAAAGCAGTGTGCACTTCACTTCTAGTCAGATTAGGGGCTGGACTAGCGGCTGGCACTTTAGTGGGGGACAGTGTTTCTGTGTGCTTGGTAATGCATATGCATATTAATAAATGTTGCTTATAGGTATTCATCATAGGATGTGCATGGGCCTTCGCAGTGGTCTGACTTCATGGCAGGGGGTACAGAGGTTGTTTTTTTGGAGCTGGAGATTCCATTAATCCCATATATGACTTTTTTTTTTCCTTTTCATCTGTGCTTACACGCAGCTGTGCGATGGTGAGGACATGCTGTGTGAAATGGCTCACGAGAACAGGAGGGGACTTGGGGGGGCTGATGTGGGGGGGTGGGGACAGCTCTGTTCACTCCGGGCCCTTGGATGCACTGGACGGGGAAAACAGTGAACGTGGCCCTGTTGGGGGCCCTCTGAAGTGAGGGGGTCTTTCAGCTGGTTTCATTATGCTGTGGATCATCCCCTGTCAAGCAGCCGTCTCCTTGGCAGAAACTAAATGCCCCTGTATTCCAGCGAGCTGCAGCCTGGTTTTCCCTGCCGTCAGTTCTGTTTCCTTTGGTGATGAAGTACCCGCCTGCTCATTTCTGCTCGTGTCAGGCCCATGGAACTGGCCGGCTTCGGAGGGCGAAGCAGTGTGTGTTGTGAGCCAGGACCATGCGGATGGGTGCAGCCGGGTGTAAATCCCTTGCAACTGTACATCATCAGTGTTCCGTAACGCTCTGGAGGAGGCTCAGGTCCGGCTTCCTGTAAGCTCATGTCTGCGTGTGCTTCTGTGTAAACCAGCTTGGAGTTTCACATATGGGCTCTCAGTAAAAGCTTTGAAGCTCACGGCGATCACAAAGGCAGGCGTGGAAATGGGGGCTCTGGCAGAGCTGGGCAAGAAGCACGTTTGCTCCAGGACGCGGTACCAAAGCAGGAGGAAGCGCTGTGCTTCCTGCGCCCTGGAAGCACCGGCAGCTCGGCCACGGGGCCAGTCCGGGAGACCCTGCTGGCACTGCTGAGCGGCGGCGAACGTGCAACCCCACGACACCGTTCAATGGCAGGACTGTGCCGTGTGGAAGGGCACTGGGGAGCTGAACACCTCTTCTGCTTTCCTGATGGCCGCTGTTTCCTTGGATGTGTCCTGCCTTAACAAAATGCTGATGCTTCCTTCCGAGGGTGGTGGGAGGGCTTGCCCAGCTGGCTGGCACCGCGGGGAGGGGAAGGGTGCAGCTGGGCTGGACAGCTCAGGACCTGCTTTTAGTTACAGACAGGAGCCAACAGGACTAGAAGATGAAGGAGAGCGAGCTGCCATTTAGCCAATTTAATGCTTGGGTGGTCACATTAATAGTTCTGATTGGAGTTTCTGGGTGATTAACTGTGGTGCAAGTGTGGGGAAGAGGAGCAGCTTTATTTGTGAATTTACATATTCCTTCTTCACCTCTCCCTCATCCCATGCACCTTCCCTGCTGGGAAACTCAGCATTTTATCAGGGCTGTGAGAGCCCTCCTGGTTGCCTCCCCTGCTACGTTTCCTCCAGAGCATTCCTCATTGATCCTGCTGTAGTGCTCCCAAACACCCTGCCGCTCGTATTGGTGTGGATGTGTATTTTAGGCTGGGGAAAATCAGTCTGCTGAAGCGACCTGTCCTGTCCCACGTGAGGTGGGGAATGGGGCAGGGGTCTGATGCAGCATCTACCATGTCCTCCCATGTGTCTCCTCCTCTGTGTGGGTTTTGTCGCTGAGCAGAGCAATGGGTCGCATCCTGATTGCTGCTGATGCAGAGCCTGTGGTTAATGACAAGGCAGATGGAGCAGAGCAAGTTTCCATGTTTTAATGAGAACATGACAGATCTGGAGGAACTGGATTTGCTCTGTTTAGCTTTGTCATCACCCATCTGCCAGTCTCCAGGTGGGGTTTAAAATGATTGGGGTCTCAAATAATGAAGGTGCATTAACTGCTTGCTTGCTGGCTCTGATAGTGGCTAGAGGTAGTCGGGTGGTGGCAGCCTGCTTTTTCACCCTGTCTCGGAGTGAAGTGAGGTGGAGTGCAGGTTGCTCCTGCCAGTGTGGAGAGAAACGCTGTTGCTGCTTTGCAATCGCTGCAGCGGTTTCTCTGGAATTCAGCGCTCCCAGCTGGAAACAGATTTGTGGAAGAGCTGGGCTCCTTCACGGGCTCCTCAGTGCCAACGAGGCTTCTCTTTGGGTGCACCAGCAGCTCTCGCTGTGATGCCCCTGTGAGGCCAGGGGCTCAAAGGTTCCTGGTGGGCTCGTGACCTCCCAAAGTAAAGTCCTGCCTCAACCGTCTTCAATTTCAGGCCCTGAGCTCCCAATTTGTGAATCCCTGGTGTTTGGTAGACCTTAAATTAGAAAAAGTGGAGAAGCGGTGAGGTAGAGTGCTGGGAAGGTCTGCAGATGTGGGGGTGTGATGCAGAGCAGCTGCCTGGCAGAGCCGGTATCATTGTTTCTATGGGGGTCCCCATCGTTCCTATGGGGATTCGTTACTCATCAATAATTCAGGCCAAACTGTCTCCAGGATAAGGAAGGGAAGAGAAGGTAAGCGGGGCTTTGATCACAGTATCTGACACAGCTTGACAAGATCCCAGTCTGGAGGATAATGGGGTTCTGTAACCGAAGAAATCACTTTATAGGTAGAAAATGGGAGTGTGGGTGACAATGCCATATGCACAGAGGGAAATTTCAACTACTCCCCATCTGGTTTGTAGCTTTTTGTAATTGCTGGTAGTTTGTGACTGTGAGAAATTCCAGGAAGGCTGGAAGAACAAAAAGAATTGATCAGCCTAAAAATAAGACGGTTTGTACTCAGTGTAAGATGCTCTCGGGAAGCTAGGGCAGCAGCATTACTGCTCTTCTGGTGAGATGTCTCTTTCTAGGATTTATTGTGCCCTCGTGATTGTTGAACTAAGCTTTTCTCTGTCTGTGCTTCTCTCCTTTGCAGAAGTGGAGCAGATTGAAGCTATAGCAAAGTTTGACTACACTGGACGATCTCCACGAGAGCTCTCCTTTAAGAAGGGGGCCTCGCTCCTCCTGTACCATCGGGCATCAGAAGACTGGTGGGAAGGGAGACATAACGGTGTGGATGGCCTCATACCCCACCAGTACATTGTGGTGCAAGACATGTGAGTAAAGTGGTGTGTGTTGATCCAGGATGTTAAAATCGCTTACCTACACAAGGTCCGCTTTAGCCACCTAAAATAGGTGGTCAGATTTTCCGAGGTTTAATGACTTTGGTAAGAAATCGGGACCTGTTCACATCTGCCTCTCCACGTATTGGCTCAGATTGTTTCTCATTCAAGCTGATAAAGCCAAGCACTAAATACTGTACTTCAGTGTGCCTGAACCCCATCTATCATTGACTCCTCAAATTGGCATAACCCAGGCTCAATATTGGCCTTGCCCCCTGTGTATGTTGACCTGGCATTGTTCAGTGCCCACCTGGCCTGTAGGCAGATCCCAGGGTCCTTTGCAGATGCTGCTTTTGTTACAAGTACTGTACCTGGATTAATTAAAATGGCAACTACAACACAGGGGGATATGGAGATGTGATGCTCACTTTTTCCAAGCTCCTGGTACTGTCTGAAGTGGTGGCCTTGGTCCAGCCCTTCGTTAACAAAGTCTGGAGCTGCTGGAGTGGTGATGTTCAGATCCACATTGTGGCTGGGCCCTAGCCTCTCTCCTGGGGCAGAGCCCTGTTACTGATGGGGGTCTCCTTTTCCTAGGGATGATGCGTTCTCCGACAGCCTGAGCCAGAAGGCAGACAGCGAGGCAAGCAGCGGACCGCTGCTGGATGATAAAGCCTCCTCCAAGAACGACATCCAGTCTCCGACGGATCATATTGTGGACTATGGCTTTGGGGGAGTAATGGGCCGGTAGGGAAACTCTCATTTTCCTATGAACACAGAGGTGGTTGATGTCACGTGCGGGGAGTCAGTGTGTGGTGTAGGGCAAGACAGAAGGGAAGGCTCCAGTAAGCACTGCAGAATAATATGAGCATGGAGGGAGTCTTCATGTGCATTGCTAATGTAGATCTTAACAAGTAAAGAAGGTACAATGCTGTCCCTTTCTTGGCACTGGCTAAAATGTCTGTCTTCCCTCTTGCCTTAGCCTTCTGGAGCTGTGAAAGGCTTGAGTTTGGTTTGATCTGAACTCTCAGAGCTGAGCAATTGTCTTGCAGCGTGCAACCTGACACTTTCGATCTGACGGACAGTGACCTAGTCTTGTGATGGATTCTTTGCAGAGTGAGATTGAGGTCTGACGGTGCAGCTATCCCTCGCCGTCGAAGCGGGGGGGACACCCACAGCCCACCCCGAGGGATGGGTCCTGGCATAGACACTCCTCCTCGAGCAGCGGCCTGCCCTAGCAGCCCCCACAAAATACCTCTTAACAGGGGCAGGATTGAGAGTCCTGAAAAGCGCAGAATGGCGACATTCGGCAGTGCAGGCAGCATCAATTTCCCAGACAGAAAGGCCTTGTCTGATGGCCACCCGCTGAGATCGACCTGTGGATCGACTAGACACAGTAGTCTCGGAGATCAGAAATCTCTAGAAGCAGAAGCCCTTGCTGAGGTAAGAGGGTTGTGAAGTGGCTCTCGGTGCCCAGGGATCGAGAGGCTAAAATAAAAGTCACTGGGGTAGCGCTGCAGAGCCCCTTCCATCTCAACACACTTCAGAATCACAGTGCTGTTGTAGCTGCAGTGGTTTAAAGATCAAAATGAGCAGCCAACAGCTTGCCGGCTTCTCCAACTGTATCGGTTGGTCTAATAAAAGATACTGCCTCCTTCCACAAACCTTGTTTCTTCAAAACAATAGGCAGAAACATTCGATCCACCACCAAAATGCGCTGGCAGCTCTTACCTCCCACAGGGAGGGAAGCGCATTATCTTCATCTGACATTCCGTAAGGAGCTTAGGAGGAGCTTTGGGTTTGCCAAATCAGAATTTGACTGATGCTCAGTGTTTGGAGAAAAGTGCTTCAGGTTTGTTACTGGCTGTTTGTAGCTAGGACCTCAAAATGTTAGTCTAATCCCAATACGATGCCTCCGGCCATGCAACATCAGTGTCACATTAGGCCATCGGTTCCACGGTGCTCGTTAAATTCATGTTACCTCCAGCATAGCCCGCAGGTCTCTCTCTACCACCGGCAGGAGGCCCCCAGTCAGGTATTGGTTAACATCTCGGAAAATGGTCCTTTCACGGAGCAGGCTGCAGAATTCTCCAGCCTCTCGGGGACCACCTAGTTCAGGCACAGTCCCTGCCAACGTGTCCGAACAGCCGTGGGTTGGGCCTCTTCGGGGCCCGGGGGCTGGTAGTGCTGTGGACAGGCTGTTCAGCATCCCCTTTTTCAGCAGTTTACCGGTGGTTTGCTTCATGCCACCCTCCGGCAGGAGCAGCAGCTGTGGGATGGTCGGTGATGCCCAGGCAGAGGGGTGCAGCTGCTGGGGAGGCTGCTGCCCACCACCTGGCAGCAGCTCATGTGCCACAGGGTTTGGCAGGCTGTTTTATGTAGAATCAGCTGCTTTCAGTGGGATAATTAATGATGATTGCAGAAAGGAAGAACTCTTACTGTCCTGTTTGCTTTTTCACCAGCCATGCTCCTTGTTCTCTTGCTCTGCAGCGCGCTACCCAGCTTCTCTGTCCATCAAGAGCTTGCATTTGGTGTGATCAATTTGCAAAGTTACGGTCATAGCACAGCACGTGCCCTGAGCGATGGCTCGAGCTGGGGCACCACATCCACCTTGGGACAGGATAACAACATGCACGAAGTCTCTGGGCTCGGCCGGTGGGCAGTAGCGTGGCACCACGCAGCGGTGCCTGGGGCCGCGTTCCCCAGGTGCAGTGCAGGGCCGTGGGGTCCAGGAGCCTCCAGAGGGACGGGTGAATGCTGAGGATGGAGCACAATATGCACAATTTTTTGGGGTTTTGGGTTGGTTTTTTAAACCTTGGAAAAGATTCTCACTCAGCTGATGTAAATGAATACTTGTCTTGAAGTCTGTAGGACTGCTGGACTTGCTAGTCCTGAGGCTTAGCTCTGGAAGAATATTTTCACTCATTATCTGAACAGCTTAATAGAATTAATTGGAGCTAACTTGATAATTATTTCCCCTCTGCTGATCCTCTGAACATTATCTGAGGCTCACCGAGTGTTTTGTATGCATTAGAAAATTAAGGACTAGCCTACACAAGGACAGTGAGGAGAGTTAACTAGAGCTACTTTTTAAACGATTGATTCAGTTGCCTTAAATAACTTCTCAGATGGTCTCTTTCTGAGTTCGTGGCCTTAATTCAGTTAAGGTGGATTTAAGTGAAGCCAGACTAGGGCCTCTATTTCTGAATGAGATGATCAGCACTACAGTTGTAGGCAATTTAGCTAATTTACTTTAAATGGGCACTTCTAGCTGAAGTGGGTTCACCTTCTGGAGGATCTCTGTGGATGGACCCATGGAGGCCGTGCCTAGGAGTCACGACCCGAGGTGGGCAGGCGGTGAGGGGCTGGGGCCAGTCTCACCTCAGCTGCCTCCCCCGGCACCGGGAGAGGCCTTGCTGCTGCCTCTCTTTTATTTATGGCGAGCTGCCATTGTGTTGCACACTCTGAATACATCCCTGTGCGTTTCCGCCCCAAACGTGCCATTGCCCTGTAGGCACAGGGACAGCAGAGGTCCCGTACATCTGATGGAGGCTACAGGGCCTCCTTTCTTGGGGAAAAACCAGCCTTAGTGCTGCGGGGGAGTGTGGAGATATCCTGCCTGGTTGGACGTGCAGACAGGCTGGTGTTCACCACGTTGCTCGTGGTGCTCGGGGTTTGTTCCCTTTGGAGCTGGTGACCAAACTCCTGTTGACTTGGGAGACGTGCGGCGCCTTTGCGTGGCCAGAGTTCGGGTTTTGTATCTTCTCCTAAAGCTCCTGCTTTGCCTGGAGGCTCTTGTCTTAGGTCAGAGACACCCCCCCACCACAGACACACATGCCAGGGCGGGGGGCCTCTCCACAGGGTGGGGTGCAGGAGAGCGGGGCGATGCTATGGCATGGTGCTGACATCCCTTTGTTGGTGGCGTTCGCAGGACATCGAGAAGACCATGAGCACAGCGCTGAATGAGCTGCGGGAGCTGGAGAGGCAGAA